TTTTTGAAAGGAACATTTATTGAGTTCCATAGCCATATTTAGTGGAATGGTCATTCGACCTCTGTATTTAAATATGCATGCTCATATATATATAAAGTCCTCAAGGTGGGACCATTCTTGTCACAAACGTGAATGAACATGGTATAATTTTTAAATAATTTTTATATTCAGTTTTCTAATGTTTTATTTAAGATCTTCTTTGCATACATGGAGATGGTGGTATATGTTTTATTTGTTGTGTTTTGCTTTGGATACCAGATATTTACATTACAATTAAAAACAGTAGTGAAATTACAATTATGAAGTATCAACAAAAATACTTTTATGGTTGGGGGGTCACTACAACATGAGACATTGCACTAAAGAGTCCCAGCATTGGGAAGCAGAGAACCACTGTTCTATGCCAGGAGGGTGTGAGTCAAAGTGAAACATGCCCTTCCTGGCTTCCTGCACTGGAAGAGTCTTACCATGTGCTTCTATGAGCCTCCTCTTCATCTTCCTACAGAGAAGACATCTTGTCAAAAGGGGGCCGCTTATGAAGAAAGATGGGGCGGGGCATACTGTGTGTTCCTGTGTGTGTTTGTAGGCCAGCAAAAGCTGTGCCTTGGGTAATACTTAAACCAGTGGTTGAAGGCTTTTAGGTGACTCCTGTCAAAGAGTTTCTTGACCCCCGGGTTGAGGACAACTGACTTAGAGTCAGGAGACAGATTCCAACATAGCTTCAAAAGCCCCAGACAGTCTACAGGCTTTTACTGTCCTCCTAGCTTTCTGTAACTCCTCTGCGTCCTCAGAGATGCTAAGCTGCCTTTGCCCAAGGCTGTCACACTGTGTATTCACCTTATCAAACAATGTGTGTCCAGTCATACCACCACTCCAAGAAGTTAAATTAGATCACACTGCTGAATATTACTCAATTCTTAGTGGGGTTTGTTGTGAAATGCTGTAATATTAAAGTATATGTACTATAAAATATTTTTCCCAACCAGCGTATACCCCACATCCACTTTGAGTAGTAGAATTTGACAAGTACCACTTAATAAGGGACCTAATTGACCAGCTAGAGATGGCAGTTCCCAGCCAGGACTTTACTGGCATTGTGATAGCACATCATTTTACATCACTTATATTTTATTAAACAATATGCTTTAGTATGGAATCAACATAAATAAATGAAAAGGCTTGCCATGGTGTCAGTGATGTTTTTCGGTTGTTTGTGTTTTCAATGCTGTGCTCATGAGATTTACTATATTAATGGACAGGAACTGTTTCATTCATTTTATGTTTAATTCACCTAAGTCCAGTTAGTTGGGACTGTGATGCTCTGTCATGCCTCAACTGAAATTCATAGCACTTTGTATGGACTTTTTACTTCTTTGCAGTGATTTGCACAAGTATACTATGAACATACGTGTCTACTGATGTGTTCGTGTGTATATGTTATAAATATCTCTGCAATAAATATTCTGTACATATGTTATTAAAGAACAGTGTGTTGATTTGTAAATTATTTTTATTTTGAATTTTGTTTGTTTTTTTGGTCAGGAGCTAAAACCCAAACCAATTTTGAACAAGGAGATTTTAGGTGCTATAAGTAGAATGTTTTTCACAGCCAGACTTGGATAAGGGTTTAGTTGTAATGACTGATTTCAGGGAATATATTTTGCTTCCACTTAGAGCCAAAACTAAGACAAACATGTTTCTCTGACATTCCCCTTGAGGGCCTTTCTTTAAAGATGATGAAATTACTGGTGTTTGACTTGGAAAATCTCAGCTATTAATTAGATTTTCTCATGAAAAGGAAACCGGCTAACAGACTGTCATAAATATCTATTCAGGTCCATTTCTTAATAGCATTGTAATTATGGTTGGCGTTTTGCAACCAACTAAAATTTCATAAGAAGCTTGCTGTTCTAACCAAATTCCTATAGACACTGTCCCTAAACTCAGGCTATCGGTAAGTTGAAATACATTTAAGTTACTCTTACTCTACCAATATTAAGTGGAACACATAAGATGCTAATAAAAGTTAACACATGAAGACCATATCTGAAAATTTAATAAATTACAGTAAGTAATGTGAGTCTTTTCCTTTCGTGCCTCTTAATCTTCCAGTAGTTATTTGAATCTATGGTAATGTGGTATATTTTATTTTTAAAAATTAAAGTTCTGAAAAAAATAGAAAAATGAAGTTCTGGAATAAAAGATAAATGTATCAGAAGGAACATTCATATATTTAAATTTTTTTCTGTGAAGAAATTTTGGCTCTTCAAATCATACTGTCTAGTCACCAAAAACAAGTAAATTGATAAGTCTGACAAGACAAAAATTTTAAATTTAACTACATAAAAAAACAAAACCAAGTAATAAAATTTTAGCCTGATGAGAAATGGCTATTTGTTTAAAAATGAAGAAATTATAGAAACCAAGCTGGTGTTCTCCATGAAGCTCTTCCCTTGATGCCTAATTTGCATAGTATTGCTGTGTACGCTTTAGGGGGTGGGGAAATCATCAACAATCTCACCCAACTGTGAACCCTCTGCAGTACAGTAACCAGTGTAGGAACATATACCCATGGATGCCAGAGTGACGTGAATGTTACAGGGGAACCAACCACTTTCTGATTGGATTTTTACCCACTCCTGAGGATGAAACACGTGCCTAATATTAGAAATCTATCCCAAAACTCATGACTGGGAAACACTTGGTTTAGGACACAGTATTACACTGTTCCTCAAAGTGCATATCTCTCTAACCATAGACTGGTGTAGCTCTCACATCTCATCAGAGAAATTCCTTTGTGCTGTGGATAGTGTTTAATGCAGAAACTAATAATTTGTCAAATTGCATAGAGTTTCATACCTACTCCCAAAATTAAGGGGCTGCCAGCAAGAATGGGGCAGAGTAAAGGAAAAAGGGTCAGAAAGATTGTAGGGGATGGAGGTTGTTGAGAAAGGGAAACCCTTCTCCATTGGTGGTAGTTTTCATAGTGCTAGGCAGGTGCTATTACATGCTACTGAAAGAGAAAAGTAGTCATCAGTCTTACCCATTTGTGAATTCTGAAAGCTATGATTACAACTGTTTTGGCAACACATGCAGTATGATAGTGGCACAATAATCATAGAAGTTGTATAAGATGTGAGCCATATCTGGCACAATTATTGAGCTAAGAACCTGTAGCTAGACAGGTCATAGGCCCTAGGGGAAAATTAGCCACTATTGTCTGCTACATAGAATATTAAAATAATTCCTAGTGATCTATCGTTAAGTCCATATGTTAATGCATTTCTCAAACCATTAACAAGGAAGGTTTTTTTTTTTTTCAGTAGGTTTCGGTGAACACAGAGACACACACGTGGTTAAGGTACAGAAGACAATAGACCATGAAATGCTTAGCTCTAAGTAGGAAATTTTTATCATGCCTTCTCTTCCCAAAGCTCAGAAATCTTTGTTGAAGAGGTTGCAGTTAGAGCCAAAGGTGGTGAGTGATTACAAAGGAGGTATTCTCAGACACAAAAGGGGAATTTACATATATAATCTCACAGCAGCCATGACTTTGAGCATTTCTTTAAGTGTTTCTCTGCCATTGGATATTCCTCTATTGAGAATTCTCTGTTTAGCGATGTACTCCATTTTTTAATTGGATTACTTGATTTTTTGCTGTTTAACTTTAGTTCTTTATATATACTGGATATTAGTCCTCTGTCAGATATAGGGTTGGTGAAGATCCTTTCCAAATCTGTAGGCTGTCGTTTTGTTTTGACGACAGTGTCCGTTGCTTTACAGAAGCTTTTCAGTTTCATGAGGTCCCATTTATTGACTGTTGCTCTTAGAGCCTGTGCTGTTGGTGTTCTATTCAGGAAGTTGTCTCCTGTGCCAGTGGGATCTGGCAAAGATCATCCTGAGTGAGCTATCCCAAAAGCAGAAAGATGCACATGGTATATACTCACTCATATGGACATTTAATATAGGATAAACTTACTAAAATCTGTACATCTAAAGAAACTAATCAAGAGGGAGGACTCTTGCTAAAATGCTCAGTTCCTATACAGAAAGGCAAAGATGGACATCAGAAGAAGGAGAAAAGAGGGAGCAACTCAGTAGCCTGACACAGAGGATCTCTGAAAGGCTCTGCCCTGCAGACTATCAATGCAGATGCTGAGACTTATGGACAACCTTTGGGCACAGTGCAGGGAATCTTAAGAAAGAAGTGGGAAACAGTAAGATCTAGAGAGGACAGGAACTCCACAAGGAGAGCAACAGAACCAAAAAATCTGAGCACAGGGGTCTTTCCTGAGACTGATACTCCAAACAAGGACTATGAATGGAGATAACCTAAGACCCCTGCACAGAACCTAAGAACTGCCCATGGCAGTTCAGTATCCAAGTGAGTTCCATTGTAATAGGAACAGGGACTGTCTCTGACATGAACTGATTGACCTGCTCTTTAATTACCTCCCCCTTAGGGGGAAGCAGCATTACCAGGCCACAGAAAAAGAGAATGAAGCCACTCCTGATGAGACCTAATTGACTAGAATCAGAAAGAAGGAAAAGAAGTCCATCCACTGCTTCTATCAGTGGACTTGGGGAGGCGCATGCATGCAGAGGTGGAGGAAGGGAGGGATTGGGATGGGAGGAGGGAGAGAACCACAGGGGGGATACAAAGTGAATAAGGTGTAATTAATAAAGAATTAAAAATAAAAGAGTCTGAAAGAACAGGGTAGAAGCAGAATTCTTTGCTCACTGAACCTCTCACGGTCCTTCTGTTGTCAATGTATATTTTACTTTGATGTTTAAGTAACAATGCAGTTTGTGCAATGATGAAAAACAAGTAAATTATGTTGAACTAAAAGTAAATTGTCATCAAGAGCTAGCTGGTAATTCTAAGTGCTTGAAAAATACATAAAGTGTTGTATGCTTTTGCACATGACCTGTCAGAAGTTGGCATCCTTGAGATGAAATGTTGCATTCTCTGGTGTCTTATGAGTCTTATGTCCCTCCAGACAGAACCAAAGGAAGATCAAGAGCAGGGACCCACTTTGAGTCAGCGCGGAGACGGAGCCGAGCTGTCCTTTATCACATCTCGGGACACCTGCAAAGAAGAGAAAAGAACAAACTGAAAATAAACAATGTAGGTGGCGTGTATGTGCAGTGTGGACACCAGTCCCTCTGGAGAGCAGTGCTTGATTCCGCTAAGGAAGGGTTCCAGTTACTCGCTTATTGAATTTCTTAGCTTTCTTTTTCCCACTTTGGCTAACTGGGGAAGGTCAGCAGTCATCAGGCATTTCTGTAAAAAGTGCGCAATCGCAGTGTTATCACAGCATAAAGATTATGTTTGTTGTAGTGAAGGCCCCGTTGTGCTGGGGAAGGGCCCACTAGACAGACCTTATGTTTCAAGAAGCAGGACAACACAGCAGGTCATGTTTACAGCACTGTTAGTTACAACATTTTAAATTTAAGCTCAGTGTCAGTTTTGCACTTGATCTCATTCCCCTTAGGACCTTTACCCAGAGGAACCATGAGCCAATAAAACTAAACATAACTTTTAAAACTTTACGTTCTCTATGAAACAGTAGGACCTTTCAGACAGTGAAACACTACATTGGGAGTTGGAAGTTATCCTTATTAGGTTATATAAAAATTTTCACTTTTAGTGACTTACAGTTAGGGCTGCTTGCTATGGGTGTCTATGGTGGAAACTGAACACTCGGTGTAATTTTCCAGTGGAAACGGAAGCAGCCATATCCAACAAGCAGAACTCGCTTGCGACTTTGGGATTGGCCCAGCTTTCCAGGGGGTTAAGGACACAGGGTTCTTCACAACCCTCCTTTACCTAGTAAGCATGACGGTAACCCTGCCCTACAGCCAGTGGCTTGATGAAACAAGCCTTGCTTCACGTATTCAAAGTATCAGTTCCTGTGCTTATACTGAACAAAGCAAGGTTTGTAAACCCAGGGTGTGGGGAGCCACTTGAAAATGTTGTCAATGTGGTTTGGCCTTAATGGGATTCCCTTCTGGAAGTCACAGTCAGTGTTTTGGTCCATCATGCTCCTGGGACTATTCGTCAAGCCTTGGCTATTCTGACATCCACTCCTGTAGAAAGTACAACACAGTCAGTCGGTGGAGGGTGGTGGTTTTGATTTTTGTCCTAACTAATATGACAGTTTCATGTTTTTAAGTGTGTGTGTGGCCAATATGCATATGTAGATAAAAAAAATCTTTATTTCTTTTTGGTTTTGTTTGTTTTTTGTTTTGTTTTTGTGAGCCAGGGTTTTGTTGTTGTTGTTGTTTGGGACAGGGTTTCTCTGTGTAGCCTTGGCTGCCCTGAACTCTCTTTGTAGACCAGGCTGGCCTTGAACTCACAGCTCTGCCTGCTTCTGCCCCCGAGTCCTACAATTACAGGCATGTGCCACAGGGCCTGGTTGTAATTTATTTATTTCTATTTTTAAATGTAAATTGGTGTTTTGAGTGCATGTCTTTCTGTGTGGGGTGTAGGATCCCCTGGAACAGGAGTAACAGTTGTGAGTTTCCATGTGGGTGCTGGGAATTGAACCTGGGTCCTCTGGAAGAGTAGATTGCACTCTTAAATGCTTTCTATCCCCTTGATTCAACAAACTTTAAAGAATTACTTAAAAAAATTGTTTTTTGAAAAAAAAGTCACTCCTTAGTGACTTGCTTAATTGTTGTTGTTTATTCCAGAAGTATAAACTTCAGAGTGAAGGATAGTAACTAAGAATGCCTCGTCAACTCAGAGTCACTGATACCAGAGGTGCCCTGACTTCAGAAGCGAGGTGTGGTCTGCACTGGCCTCGGTCACTGTGCTCTTTTCAGCAGGATAGAGAGTAGCTAATGATAAGACAGCAGGAAGAAGGAAAGACAGAAAACATCCTGCACTTACAGGCTAAACAATATTAGGGGAATTCTAGCTGTAATAACTGATGCACACAAAAAGAACCACTAACATTTTATCACACAAGCTACTGAAGTTTTCCTTCCTTACATTTTTTTTTATTTTATTCTCACAGCAAGCCAGTACTACATGCATTTTTATTAGGCCCATCTTAACAATGGAGAAAACCCCAACTTATTAAAATTATCCAAAGTAGAAGAATGAGCTAAGGAGCTCAGGCCTTAATTTTCTGCCTCAAATCACTGTCTTGTTCTTGAGCAGCTTTTCCCTAGAGATGATCTTACATTGCAATCACAGGCAATAGAACTCCTCAGGCCTGTGTCCGAGTTTGAGAGTGGGATGAATACCTTTAACTTAGGCTCCCAGTTTCCCTGGAAACCCCCAGGAAAAGACTTTAATTCCTTTTGATTTTTTGGTTGCTTATTCTATGTAATGAGAAGAGAATGAAGCTGGTTTATCCCACAGAGATAAATGACGTATAGGCTGAAGGGACCCTAGCCAGCCCTAGCATAGCAAACACAGCTCTGGCAGATCTTGCCCTTTTCCCCCATTCCCTCTGCCTTGCTAAAAACTGTTAGATTACATTCGTAAAGCTGGCCTCCAGGGTCTGTTCTCATACTTGGCCACCTCTTCCTCCTGAGGCTGACACTAAGGTCCAGCTATCAAAGTACTGATGTCTAACAATCAAAAGCCCCCTTTGGCTCAACTAATCAACATGTCCAATTAAAACTAAGCACCTCATCCTAACACAGTTTATATTTCACCTTTATAAACTGCCATTTTCCTATGGACCATATTTGTCTCTTCTCTATCCAGAGGCAGTCCTTTGTCCCCAAGGACAAATACCCCGTTTTCCTCTACCTCCCTCTTTCTCCCCTTTCCCTTGTCCCGTTCCCTTTCTCCTTCTTTCTTTATCTCCCATCTTTGTCCCATAACCCTGTCCTCTGTTGCTCTGGACAAATAAATCTCCTTTGTGCTGAGAACTTGGTTTTGAGTTGTCTTGAGCCATTTTCAGGGTTCCCTACACAGATCATAGGAGACAGTCCCGCAGGAGGTTGAGAGAGGAGTGCTAGCCGTGCCCAAATATTACCAGAAGGAGGCCTCCCTCAGTACCACCATCAAAGACAGGCCCTATGTCAGGTGTGCCCAGTGTAGTGACTGTGGGAACATTTTCCTACTGCCTCGTCCATTTAGAGGCATGTTTCAAAGAATATTGCAAAACACTTTCTGGAAAACATCTGAATTAGGTTTTGGGGTTAACTAGTGCGTTTGGGTAATCCATAGGCTACAGATTAATGGGCTAAAGTGTCACTGGTCCTAAAGCATGCCCCTCAAAATTAGTAAATAACAGCTCTTCAAATCTATTATTATTTTGTTTAAAACATTGTTTTATACCTTGCTCTGTATGTTTCTTCCTGTTTCCATCTATGGCACAGTTTTTTGAACATGCATATTTTTTGCGGATATGAAAATTTGCTTGATTCTAGAAGGTTTTGTTATAGACTCGGGTGTAGCAAATTCTTTTTGCCAGTCAGGTAACCGTGTAATGACATGTGCAAGACTGAATTACTGACACCTCCAAAGTTGAGTCAGATCTGATATGCATGGAATTCTAAGCATAATCTTTAAATCTCGTGCTCTAACAACATTTTGTAACAATAATTTGACATGTACTTTTAAGTTTCATATTTGAGGTAGTCTATGAAAATAACACCAACACGTCACATTTAAAGTTGTTCACATGTTCAGCTTTTGCCTGACATCATGGAGTTGAATGGAATCAATGTGACACAAAGCAAACACCTTCTCATGAGTGCCCAGCCCTCACTCTAGGTCTTTTCTCACACTAGGTACAGTCTGGGGCTCTGGAACAAAATTGTAAAGGTAGTAGTTATTTGGATATAGGTATAAAATGGCTCCTTGGCTTTCATGTGCAGGGCTACAAAGATGCCTCATCAATTAACGGCACTTGCTGGTTTTGAAAGGGACCTGGGTTTGGTTCTCATCACCCACACAATGGATCACACCTGCTTGTAACTCCTTTTCCAGGGAATTTGATACCTCCTTCTGGCCTCTGAAAGCACCAGGCATACATGCAGATTAAAACATTCATAACACATAAAACGAAGATCTTTTCTAAAAGAATTTACTATATATCATTATAACTTCAAAGTGCCTTGCGAACCTTGGGAAGATGAGTATTTGCGGACCTTTAACACCACCCGCCCTCCACATACTCCGCAAACATGCAAAGTAATTTATTGCCTCAGTTTGATGGCAAATTCCAGCTTTGGAACTTGTCCCTCAGCTACCGTACAGGTAGTTTGATGAAACAACGCAGTGTCACCAACCTACCACCTCGAGGTGAAGCAGTGGCCCTCAGTGTAACATGGACAGGACATGCTTGTGTGACTGAGTAAACTTACTAGCAGGAAGTATACACACACAGGTTGGGAACCTCTATCTTCAGACAAGGGGCAGAAGCACAGGTTTCAAGTGCTTTTGTCTGTTAAAGTCCCAGGAATCCTCAGGTGCTCTGGAACTTCCAGAATACACTATATTTATCTGCTTTCCCTTAAGTGGGTGAGACAAAAACAAACAAACAAACAAACAAACAAACCCACTGTGACCTATACGTATTATGTATCCAGAATTTTCTTCTGTTCAAGTTAAATTTCAAATCTAAGTTCTTATTACCTTTCTTGCATTTCTCATTAATTGAGGTCAAAACAGAGTCTATAAGTACCTGGTCCCAAGGCTTCTGGAATGTCCACACATGCTGTTATTGAGCCTTCTTTTGTCTCATAGCAACAAGGGAATTGTTCATCAATTTGGACTGCTTTCCAAGCAAAGTGCTTTATCAGCCATCAAAAACTCCAGCTAGTCTCTGTTTAATCAGCTGTGTGCTGAATGTTGCTTTCCTCCTGCATGACTAGAATAATAACCCCTAAGTAACTGCTTCTTTCTTTCTTAATGGCTGGTCTGTTTCTGAATATATCTATATTAATCAAAGTAATGAGGTTTGTGTTCCTATTAGAAACATCATCAACAACCACAGTGCACAAATGCTTGGGCCACCCAGTATATTTGACAAGAAAGTAAGCAGCTGTTTGCAGAAGAATGGTGGTCATCTCTACCCTTTTAGGGAAACAAACAAACAAACAAAACAAAAAACAAAGCAAAACAAAACAAAACAAAAGCAAGGTACCTTTGCTGACATCAGCAGAATCCCAGGCCAGCGCTCTTTGGATAATGACTCTTATTCTAAAGCCACTCGTATATCCAAGCATGCTTTTGTTGCTACACTACGTATAGAATTACACTTGCAACTAGATGTTGTTGATGACATTTGAGATAATAGTCTTTTTATTTTCAATGACCGAAATCTATATTGCTCAGTTAAAAATAACTTTAAAAAAATTCTTCACAGTACTGGCCATGTAACAAAGATTACTGCTTAGTTATAGTCTAGTAACAAGTTGGACACATTCTAAGAAGGGTGTTATTAGGGTAGTTTGTTGTAGGAACCCTTTACAGAGGGTACTGATAAAAACCCACAGAGTGTAAGTCAAGGCCTGCGGTGGCTCAGTGTTGAAATGATTCAGAGCACATACTGCTCCTAAGAGGAGCTGAGCTCCGTCTTCATTACCCGTGTCAGCATCTCACAAACGCCTGTAACTCCATTTTCAAGAGATCCAACACACTCTTTTGGCCTCCTTGGGCATATGCATTTATGTGTATGACTCAATAGGTTTTCTGGTCAATCACTCCATGTACCATTCAACCAGAAGGTGTATGAGCCTGTAGCTTGTATAACACTAATTATAATATATTTATAATTATAATGCTGACAGTAAACTTTTTACATATAGAGGAACACACTCTGAGAAAGCAGTAAGATGTACAAATTATAAACACACAAACCAGTAACAATTGTTTATTACTGTTATCAAAATGAGTACTATGCACAATTATTTATGGTATATTTATACATGACAAAATTCAGTATATTCCTGAACAGCAGCATCACAGACAAGCTATGATATTACATACAGTAGCCTGCATCTTCCCTAGGTGACAAGATTTTCACCTCACTTGGAATCTTGTGGGACTAGCATCACAAAGAAGCCTGTGGTTGATATCAGCACTTTTGGGTGGCACAGGACAGTAGACTCATGTTAGATTATGCAAGTCATTTGTAAGGTATTTGAATGTGTGGATGTTCCAACCTCCTACAGTGTGCATTTAGGGCTGTTTAGTCTCCATTTCTAATGGCATGCTTCTCTGTTCCTTCTCTTCTTTGTGTCTTTATCCACAGAATGTGTTTGTAGATAAACCAGCATTTCCAGAGTATAAAGTTTCTGATGCAAAAAAATCCAAGTTCATCCTGTTGCATTTCAGCACTTTCAAAGCTGGCTGGGACTGGCTCATTTTGCTGGCGACATTCTATGTTGCTGTGACAGTACCTTACAATGTGTGCTTCATTGGCAATGAGGACCTGTCCACAACTCGGAGCACAACAGTCAGTGACATTGCAGTGGAGATTCTTTTTATTATAGGTAAGCTTCTTGTTTGAGAGATTTGCATGTGGAAAGCAAGCATGTTTCAGAATTTTCCATATAAAATTTGAGCAGACATCTATTTGCAAGAGTGTGTTTCAGCCTGTGGTGCACATTTTGGAGATTCATGTGCTTTTATTTCTGAAAATTGCTTCTTCCAGTTTTCCTGCTGCATTAAAACACCTAAACCAATGTCCCATTTTTCTACATTTATTTTATTTAAAAAATGGGTTGAAGAAAGATTTGATGTTGGTTATGTTTGGACTCTGACATCCTTAGAGATATTAGCTATGCAAAGTAGGAGTTGAGTCTAACAAAAGCCCACCAGCAGAATGGCATCCGACAATGGTGCAGGATGTCTTGGGAGTGAGGCTCTTTTTATGGTGTTTAGGATGAATTCTGCGAGTGGCCTGTCTACAGAAGAATCAGTGGTTTATGTTTCCTGATGTAATCAAGAGAGGCAGTATCTGATTTTAGCTAAGTAGACCCCAAAGGATGTTTGTTCCCAGTATTTACTTTTAGAACCCTGGGGATTTCAGTTGACAGACATTGGCTTGACTGTATAGACCTTTTTCTATTCTCCTGCCTGTTGAATCTTCATTTTGTTCAGACCCAAGCCTGGCTCTTGATTCTCCTTCTAGAACAGATTCCGGTTTTCTTTAAGTTTAGATTAACTTAAATTAACTGCTGTTTGGCTACGAATACTGAGTCTTTACCTGATCAGGGTGTCAAAGAGCAACATGAAAGGATGTTAGGAAACATCTTTAGGAAGGGACTGAATCAAGGAATAATTGACCTTAAGAAGTAATGAAGCAGATCAAATATTCTTTTCAATGGTGTGGTAGGTCGTTTAACACTTTGGGACCAGAATGGTCCTGTCAGTGCACGTTAGATTAGGGTCTGTAACTGCTGTGAGAGCGAGGTCTGTGACTGAGTGTGAGTGTGTGCTGGCTCTAGAAAGGTGTGCCTGCTCTCCACATGAGTCCTGCTGCCCTGTTACCACTGCGCCTATGAACCCTGCCTGTAGGACCCTTTCTCTCACCCCAAAAGTGGTCGCTATAGTGTGTTAAACCACTAGATGGCAATAGTGTCTAGTTGGGTAACTGGGTAAACCTACAAAATCAATTAATTTTTTTATTAAATACATTCATTATGAGGAAATTATAATATAATATGATCTGTCTGATCATGATGAAACAGCAGATTTTATCATTACAGTTCAAATTTAGAATGAAGTCGCAGACAAACTGAGTGGGACTATTTGCCAATCCATTTAGTTTCATCTCCTCTTAGTTTAATAGCCTTTGATGTTTCCTCCTATGAGTCCATGACAAACACAATTGTCATCACCCTAAAATCATTGTCTATGTCCTGGTCAGAGTTCTAAAGGACTCGGGCCTTCATTGCATGCCTGAGCCTAGTTTCTTTATAGAAAATATGTTTACAAGGTCTCATCAAGTATCAGGTAAAAGTGTCTGTTGAACACACATGTCAGCAGCTTCCTAATGTTGATATTTACAGTTTCTTCACTGAGGCAAAGCTATTTCTTGATTTACTTCACCATATTTTTCTGATATATGAGATTTGAAAACTCGTGAGTAAGGAATCCATCCTGCCACTGTGTAGTCCCAAGCAGAGGATGACCTGTTTACTCATGAGGACTCAGACTCTGACAAAGCTTTATTTGTTTGGGGTATGCTTTCCTGTTGAAGACCGAGGGAGATTGGTTTCTTCCTCTGCCTCTGCCCTTAGTTCTTCTGGTTTCACTCTTACTGTGATTTCTGTTGTGTAGGTAGCAGGTCAAGCCAGCACCTACACCCAATAACCAAGCTCCTGCTATTTTTACCCAGTTATGTTTATCCAACACTTGCTTTAGAGCTGGAAACTGACTCTTCTAGCAGTATGAGATCCTATGTGGAACCCCTCATTGACTGACTTAATTTCACAGTCAATAGGAATTTGCTCGCAGTTTTTCACCATTGCCACCCTGTTCTTCTAAACGAGTTTAATCATGCATAAACTTAGAGCACGTTTGAAGAGCGGTTTATAGTGGAGTTTATCCTTTTAGGTTTACCCTAGTCTTATCATGGGCATCTTTTGGCAAAGGTGGCCAAACATGGTTAGTTATAAATGAGTTATAACACTTGGAGTAAGAACAGGTTATGGTACCTTACGCTTGTAATTCAAAAACTCCAAAGGCAGAGGCAGGAAGTCCCAGAGTTGAAGGCCAGACAGGGTAACACATTGAAATTTTATGTCCAAACCCAAACAGAAATAATACTGTGAATGAAAATATTTTTACCTGTAGTTTCACAATACTGAGTACAATTTAGGCCACTTAACTTTTATTAGTGTGTGTGGTATAATGAACATGAATATTTAAAATACAGCTGGTTTTCCATTTCTTTTTTCCTTTTTGTTTTTGTGGTACTGGATCCACATGGAGGCTTCAGAGCCTCACCATTGGACTGAGTGTTCAGTCCACCTGGATCCATTACAGAGGACTTGGGAAAGACAGGCTTCATTGTGCCTGAAAGATGATGTTAAAAAAAAAAAGTTTCTTAATTTTGCTAGCTCCAGTGTTGGACAATATGTGTACTTTCCTAATGGAGAATAATTAAATGTTGCATCCAGAAAAGTTTCTTAGTGGAAACTAAAGATGGGTGATGACACATTTCTTCGGGGGCTCCATAATACGTTTTAGCATGGTAAATCCTCAAAGAATCCTATGCTGAAGAAGCCCATTTAAATGTGATTCACAAACATCTTGCTGGATTTGCTTTACTGCAGAACTTATCCTCCACAGGTCATTCAGTAAGACTCTTTTGACATGATTGAGGAATGCCATCCCCAGGCGGATTCATCAGAAGGAAAGTATCTGACTACAGAGTTAGTTTCAAGTTAGTGACTTGAAACTCCTACTTGCCCTCTTGTTCTTATTGTGAAAGCTACATCATCTCAAGATGGCAAAGAGTCTCCTGAATTCACAGAAGGAAGATAAAAGTTGGACCTTCTTTCACTTTCCACCTCAGTGTTATGAGCAAAGGAACAAAGTTGAGTGGAGAGTTTCATAAGACAGATTCACATTAACTCAGCCTTTTATACAATGTGTTATACACTGGAGATGTGATGTTGCTGTTGCTTATTTCTGTGGCTTATTAGCTTACTACCAAGTAATACTACATTCAATTAACAAATTGCTGCTACGTCATTTATTTTAATTTCTGTGGGATTTGAATCAGTAGACATTTTAAAAATGATAGTTTTCATACAATGGTGATTTTGTTTCCAAGCCTTATAACCCAGTCGTACCTTTAACACTGCAGGTTGTTATATACAAATAAGCCAGTGTCTCCTCCATTCCCATCCTAAAAATTCTAAAGAGTCCAAAACTGTGCATGCAGCAGTCCTGGGAGTGAGCTGTGAGTTGTCTCAGTTGGTGCTATTTTCCTTCCCCTTTCCTGATATCTGGTATAGGGACAAGAAGGTTACCAGTTAATCTGAGAGGTTTGAACTTGTAGGCTACCTTGTAGGGCTATAGCTCCCAACTTAGTTTCTTCAAGAATTCTTAGAAAGCTAAAGGTCACCGTTAGAAGGAAGGGTGCAATTCACTGCTGCATTCTGTGTATTCACCTTAGCCTTCAATCACTGAACTATTTAAGAAGGCTCCAGAACAAAACAATTGAGAAACTAGTGGGATGCTATAACTGGAGTGTTAAGAGCCAAGAATTTTCCAGAACAGAAAGAATATGTGAACTATGAGATGCACAGATTATCCAAGATGCTACATAGAATAAAAAAAAAAAAAGAAAAAAGATGTCCTCACGTCTCAACACACCATAGTAAAGACCCTAGAAGGAGATGCAGCTACGCTAGAGACAGAAGAACATTAAATGTCAGTAAGAAAAAAAAGCTGCTGGAGGATTAACCATTATGAATATATGCATATATATATACTCATACATGAAATAATATTGCCTGAAAATACACAAAATGCATGTCACAGATTGTGCGTAGTTATTTTAAAAATAAAAAAGAATAAGGCTATTTTCACATGGCATTAACATCTGAGACAGCACCACAGCAATATTTAGACTCTGGGAAAATTGGAAAGCACAGTTGACAGGATGGGTCACTATCATGCAAACAGGCTTTCAAAGCCTTCACTGTATGGATGAGCAGGCCTCAAATATTATCTGTTGTAGAGGCTCTTTGCCCTTTTTAATGTCAGCAGCACCCACTGTCCATTTGTGACAATCAGTTGCCTCCCATATGTACAATTATTTCTATTTCCAGGACACATTAAATAAAGCAAGCGGAATCTGCCAGGCCACTTGCAGCATGTGCCATTTATATAAAGTCACAAGAGAGCATTTTCAGGGTAAATTTATTTGAAAATGCTTACATTACCTTTGGAGAATTATATAAGGAATGGGTGCACTTATTTTTGTCTCAAGAGGACAGGGTCCTGAGAACAGTGACAAAACATATTGCATACCTTCCTGTGGGTTCCTTAGTTTTGAGCGATATGCTGCTGAGTAAAAAAGAGCCCCACAAGGAGAGCGACAGAAACAAAATATCTGGCACAAGGGTCTTTTCTGTGATTGATACTCCAACCATGGATCATTCATGGAGATAACCTAGAACCCCTGCACAGATGGTAGCCCGTGCCAGCTCAGTGTCCAAGTGGGTTCCCTAGTAAGGGGAACATGAACTTAGTGGCTGGCTCTTTAATTACCTCCCCCTGAGGGGGAGAATCCTTACCATGCCACAGAGGAAGACAATGCAGCCAGTCCTGATGAGACCTGATAGGGTCAGAGGGGAGGAGGACCTCCCCTATCAGTGGACTAGGGGAGAGGCATGGGAGGAGAAAAGGGACAGAAGGCAGATTGGGAGGGGATGAGGGAAGGGGCTACAGCTGTGAATAAATTGTAATAAATTTTAAAAAGTAAAAAAATAATAATAAAATTAAATTTTAAAACTTAGGTTTCAATTACATA